ATGGGCAGCGGGCACAGTCCTGTGTGTCCCAGCCGACCTGCCCTCACGCGGGCACGCCGAGGGGCCCCGGTGACTTCGTCCAGGGCGCCTGTGGGTGGGGCTGAGGACGCGCTCACCCCGACTCTCAGGGCAGGGCTGGGCGCATGACTCAGAGCACAGCCCCGGTCCCCCGAGACCAAGACCGCCAGAGGAGGGCCGGCTGCCTGTACCCCGAAACCTTCGCCCAGACCTGCATGGCAAGGCCGGTGTGGTGGTGCCGCTGTGATCCTGGCAGTCCCAGGAGGCTGAGGTGGGAAGATCCTCCCAAGTTCAAGACCAGCCTGGGCTACACAGCCACCCGCTTCAGAAAGCCAAATAAAACAAGCAAAAAAGAGACCTGCTTCACTGCCTACCGTGTGCAGCGGGAAGGAGCTGCTGGCCCCCAAGTTTGTTAACCTGTGTGTGTATGTTATTTTCTCCTACAATTGCTTCTCTGTGGTGTTGAGGAGGGGACCCAGGGCCTGGGGCAGGCTGGCCAGCACTGTACCACTGGGCAGCACCCCCGGGCAGCACCCCCAGCCACATCCATGTTTTGTGCCCTTTTCTGTGTAACTGCTGTGTTCGTGGCATGAAGTTAGTCTTGCAGGAGAGGGCGTGGCTCACAGAGTGCAGTTGAGGCTCAGGGTGGTCAGAAAATGTGAGTTAATGTCATATCCTTAGGACTCTAGGTCATGGGAGCCACGGAGAGTCCTAGAGTGAGGGTCACAGTCAGCAAAGTTGTATTTTAGGCATATTAGGAGTAAAACTAGAGAATCCAGGATGCCAGCCAGCGCAGCGCGTTGTGTGTATGAGGAAACGGTGCCCCTGTTGCCCACATGGAACCCGAGGCCGGAGCGCATGGCTCCTTTGATGCAGCCAGGCCCCCTTGCAGAGTGCATAACCTGCCCCGCCATGCCTGGCACCCTGGCTGAGAGGAAATAACAGAGAGATTGTCAGCTAGGGCCTCTGCCCCTGAATCTCCTTGCCTCTCTGGCTCAGTTTCCCTGGGCCCAGCACAGAGCACGCGTGGCAGGGACGGTCTGGGCCCAGTGCTGGTCCTCTCGCTCTCTGCCCCCATGGCCACCTCCTTTGCCTGCCATGAGCACCAGAGAGGAGCGGCGAGATGGACAGGGCCAGGTGGGGACGGCCCGGCGCCAGCGTGGCTGAGCAGGAGAGGCCGGGCCGCTCTGGGCTGTGTTCCCAGGCTGCGACCACCCAGGGAGGCTCCGACCGGCCCCCAGGGCACAGCACTGAGTCTGTGCTGTGGGCCCACTGTGTGCCAGGACGGCACCGCTCAGAGGGCGCCCAGCCGCCTTCACCACGAGCAGCCAGCACGCGACTCTGGCCTGATCCGACCCACTTCTGAGCACGGACGGTGTCAGGGTTTGAACTCTGGGTCCCCGAAGGCTCGTGTGTTCCTGGTGTGGGTTTGGGCAAAGGGGTGGAGGCCTGGGACTCTAGTGGCTCAAGTGGATTCACTCACCAGGCTCCTTAGCGGCCCGGCGAACAGGGAGGCGGTGCTAACTGGATGAGGGGGCTTAGATGTGGCTGTGGAGGACACAGGCTGTTCCTGCCCCTTCCTCTCCGGCTTTTCCCACCTGCTGTTTCCCGACCACCCTGAACTGAGCGTCTCTTCCCCGCCAGACCCTTCCACCATGGTGCCCCTGCCTTGGCGTAGCCGACCATGGACTGCACCCTCTGCAACCAGGAGCCACAGTTAACCTCCCAAGGTGCAGTGTCCTGAGACACCTCATGTGGCCATGCGGTTTTGTCCCTGCCAGGGCTCCCGGAGGACACAGTTCCTGCCTATTTCACAGATGGGGACAGGGACTCCACAGAGGCCAAGGGACTGGCACCAGAACCCAGCTAGCAAGGTTGGACTTGGGTCCCTGGCCCCTGGCCTGAGGCCTAACTGCTGTGTTCCTTACAGCTGAGCCTCAGCCTCAGATGGGACCCGGGCTCCTGGGTGTGGGAGATCTGGGGTCAGCTAGGGCCCCCAATGCAGCTGGGAAAGGAGTGTGGGTTTGGGGGACCCCCCCAAGGCTCTTGCCTTCATCAGCTGAGGATAACAACTTTCACCAGAGAGCGAGTGTGGGGGCTCAGAGGGGTTCTCTGTGGGGAAAGTGCTCTGCTTGGGCTCTGCTGACTCAGTGAACAATCTCCCCAACCGTGCTGTGCACACACCTCCTGTCCCTTTCCTCAGAAGGCTGTGCAGTTGAACTGAAGCTCCAGAAGGGCCTGGTCTGGAGGGCAGAGGCTCAGGATGGCTGAGGCCTCGGGAAAGGCAAATGTGCAGCTGTTCCTGACCTCCCAGCCGCTTCCAACTGCTGCCTTTTCAGCAGCTTCTGCACAGTGTAGGGCCCGGCCTCCTGGGCTGGGGATCTGTGACGGAGATGCAGCTGTTGGCTTCCCAGGCCTGAGAAGCTCCGAGGACAGTGTGAGCAAGGGAAGCCAGCTCCCCGCACCCACAGCCGACCCGCAGAGCCCCTCAGCCAGGACTCCCAGCCCCAGGAATGATGCATCCTCTGCCAGCCACGTGGGCGCTGCGGCCCTGGGAGGGGCCGTCCCGGAGCCCAGCCGCCCTTGTGCTCTGGAACGGACCGAGACTCACACAGGGTCCCTCTGCATGTGCATGGCAGGACCCCGAACATCTCACCCCCACAGTGCCCTGTCCCAAGGGCCAGCTGGGGGCCCTGCAGCCAGCAGTCTGTCCGTCTGTCTGTCCGTCCTCAGTGACAGTTCAGGGCTGGCAGCGTGGGGGGCCTTGCTGTCCAGCGTAGGATGAGGCCCGCATCACTGTGCCAGGCCAGGGTAGCATCCGACCCGTGGGGATGGGGCGCTGCCCCCCTCGCCCTGCAGAGGAATGACCCAGATGTGCTGGTGTCCTCCGGAGATCTCGCCAGCTCCGGGCACTGAGCCCCCTGTGGCTGCCAGGTGCGCCACTGTCCTGGTCACCAATTCCCTGCATTACCCAACCTTCCCAGAGTGTTCTCGTGGCACATGGGAGCAGGTCTCTTATTGGCTCACTGGTGTGGCCTTGGTACTTATAAGGCAGCTGTGCACACTCCAGGTACTTAATAAATATTCCTTTAGTGGTGGACCACATCCAGGCACATGTGGCTGGAGGGAATAGTATACTGTCATGAAAACAGGGTGTGGTGACTGGTGGGCACCAACATTGAGTCTGGAAGTGGATGTGTTTATGGATGGTTTGCTCCTCTTTTCTCCATTTTGTGTGATTTGAAGTCTTAATGAGGAAGTGGACAAAATAACAAGAATTATGCTAAACGTCTATAAGAAAGAATGCAGAAATCCTTGTGATGTACAGAAATTGTGGAACTTTGTACATTATTAACCAGAAGATCATGGAGGAGCTGTACCTGTGCATGCCTAATGGGTGTCTCCGGAAGTGAGACTTGGACTGAATTCCATCAGCCTTTACACCTGTCTGGATTTTCTATAACTAGGGGGGAAACCTTTGAAAGAAATGAATTTTAACCTGTCCAGGTGGTGCAGTGTAATCCCAGCACTCAGGAGGCTGAGGCAGGAGGATTGCAAGTTGGAGGCTAGCCCGGGCAACTCAACCAGACCCTGTCTCAGAATTGTACACAGTAGAATAAACATATCAGGGAGAGGAGCTCAGTGAGGGATCCTGGGCTCAGTCCCAGTAGTGAAAGATCAGAAGACTCTCAATGTTCACCGCTTGCTGCCATTGGGGAGCAGGCTCTCAAGTCAGAGGTCAGAGGGCTTCCCGCCTCCCAGGTCAGCTCCTGGCTGACACCTGGAAGCCGCCAGGGAAGGATTCTTGGAGGGAGACCCAGTGACTGCCCAGGAGGGCCTGCTGGGCACCCAGGAAGGTTCAGAGGCAGTGGCACTGGGAGCCACACATGCGGGCCAGCCGGGATCTGACCTGTGTCCCTCACTTCCTCCCCAGGCCACCTGGACCCAGTGGCAGCTCTCGGCTACCTCCTGGTTCCCTCCCCCCAGCATTTGAAACTGGCCCTGGGCTTCCAAAGGGAAACAAATCTGGGAGTGCTGTGTCTTTCTTCATAGGTCGAGACGGTGGACCCGAGGTTACGCAGTCACAGGCCCCAGACAGCGAGGTCTCCTGACCTGGACCCCAAGGGACAGAGCGCTGGGTCCCGCTGCTCTCCCCGATCTGGCCGCCAGAGGGCGCCAACGCTCAGCCAGTCCCTGTTTCCTCCCATCCCGCGCTGCTCTCTGGGTCTCTGCCGTCCTCCCGCGGTCCCCGGTGGTAGTGCAAGCTCTCTGTTTCCCAAGGTCTCTGCCACACCAGGGACAGAGAGCTCGGCCCTGGCTCCCAGCTGCTAGTGGAGAAGGGGCCCCAAGAGATGGCGTTGAACTTGGGTGTCCACAACCACTGAGAAGGGACTGGGACAAGCGGAGAGGCAGGCAGGTGTCCTGGATGGTCACCCCAGGAACAGGTGCAGGCCCTGGATGAGTGTCCTGTGTCTGCTGTCACAGAATGACATCAAAGTGTGGCTTCACGGAAATGCGGGGTGTAATGGCACACACCTGTAATCCCAGCACTCTGGAGGCTGAGGCAGGAGGTTTGCCAGCTTGAGACAAGTCTGGGCAACTTAGTGATTTAGTGAGTCCCTGTCTCCAAATAAATTTTTTAAGCCAGGCCTGGTGGCACATGCCTGTAATCTCAGCATTCGGGAGACTGAGGCAGGAGGATCACTGTGTGTTGGAGATCAGCTTGGTCAGTCTCAACAACATAGTAAGACCCCATCTCAAAAAACAAAAAACAAAAAAATGAATAAATAAAAATATAACAGATGAAGAAAGTTCTTAATTTTACTACTACAAAAATATAATACTAATTTTTTTGTTTTGTTTTTCATACCAGAGATCAAACTTGGGATATTGCACTTGCAAGGCAGGCAGCAGTACCACTGAGCTAAATCCCTGGCCCAATAGAATACTAGCTTAATGCCAGTTGAAAAGGAAAGAGTTTTAAAATGTTCCCTTCCTAATTCGCTTTCATAAGAGTTTGTTCCTGTATAAGTCATATTAAACTGACAAAAATTGCTACTTTTTCTTTTTTTTCCAGTACTGGGAATAGAACTCAGGACCTTGCACTTGACAGGCAGGCATGGTGCCACTGAGCTCCATCTCTGGCCTAAAATTGATATTTTTTAAAATAAAAAGTCAAATATTAAAAAAAAAAAAAGAAAGAAAAACCAACAGAGCTAGGAATATAACTCAGTGTGAAAGACCAGTAACACAAAAACAAAGACACACTAGGTGGCCAGGCTGGCGGCTGCCTCAGGCACATGGGCCCTGTGAGGGTGTCAGGGCCCTGGAGGGAGGCGCCATCGGCCAAGGAAAGAGGGGCAGGACGAGGCCAGCGGGGAGCGGGCAGAGTCCAAGGCCAGCTGGGGAGGACGCTTGGAGAGTGCCAGAGAGGTCAGACGGGGGCTCCAGGCCACACAACAGCGGCCTGGATGGAGCCCTGTGCAGCCCCCCAAAGCCCTGTCCTCACAGGGCCTGTCCCCCGGCGCTCCGGGCAGCTTAGCCTCCGTCTCTAAATTAAGCAATGAATGGGATTTAGGACTTTGCTCCATGCAAAAGCCCTGGGTTCCACCCCTGACACTGCAAAAAATAATAAAAATTAAGGCCCTCTGCATGATTAACCCTCCCTCCGCACGCACAGGTGGCTGGGGGAGTCACACACTTGCCGGCTTCACCTGTGCCTCCCCGTCCTGCTGTCTCTGTATTCCCCTCCCCCAAGTGGAGTGAGTTCCTGTGCATCGACCACACAGCCCTGTGCCCCTCAGCTAGAACGCCACGTGTGCTCGCTGGTTTCCTCTTGAGCCCCTGTCGCTTTTAGTTTTTGGACAGTCTCACCAGTGCCTGGGCCGGCCTCCCTGGAGAAGTGCTTCTCCTGCCTCAGCCTCCTGTCGGTGGGACCACAGCTGAACCCAGGAGAGCTTGGCCTGTGTGGACGGCGCAGCTCTGAGCTGGGCCTCGAGGGTCCCTTCACCCATGTTCGAGGGCCAGCACCCCACCCCCTGCCCCACAACCCCAGCTGGACTGGGAGCTGGCGGGAAGCGGGGAGCCCAGGGACCCACCTGCTCCCCACACCTTCCAGCCAGGCTGGCCCCAGGGGAGGGGTTGCCTGGCGACCAGCTGGGCTCCTCCCAGGCTGGCCATGTTGCCTGGCAACCCTGCAGCAGCGTCCCCGTCCCTTGAGCCCAGGCCACACAACCCCAGCCCTGCCTGGCTCCCAGGGGTCCCCTCCTTATCCGAGACCAGGAGGTGCTGAGGTCACAATGAACTTCGTCCTCTCCAGGTGAGGGGCTGCAGGGCAGGGAGAGGGAGGGGGGACAGGGAGGGGGAGAGGGGGACACGGGGCTCCGACCACCAGGCCCCTGGCTTCTTCCGGCCCTCACGGCCTCCCCTGGCTCGCTCTCTGTGAGCTGTGCTCGCCCACTGCCAGCCCCACTGTGGCCTGAGAACAAGCGAACCCACGCTGTCCACACTGGTGGGAGGGGAAGGGGCCATGGTCAGAGGGGAGGGGTGGGGAGGCGGGGACCTGGCGGGGACCTGGCGGGGAACCCAGGAAGGAC